AAAAGCTCCTGGAGCATGCGTGGACCAGTGGTCTGATCGCAGCGAGGAGCAATCGCGTGTACTACGTCATCCGTCAGGCCACAGCTTATACATATGGTATGCCATGTTTCCTTTCAAGTTGAGCGCGCTGGGGACGAGGCGAGTGACACATCATATCATGCTGGCGCACGTGCGCGCTAGCAGGTATCGGGGGCCTGCAGGGAATCCGCACAACTTCCCCTTGTGGGGCACCGGGGTCACCTTACTTCGCGCCCCGCGCCCCACGATGCGCGGTTGTCTTCACGCCCTCGCGCCGCCCCCTTTGAGAAGGGCAGCCGCTGTGGCCCAGACCGCGACGCGGGAAGCGCGACTACATCTGCACCCCGGCGGGTGAGTGACCCAGGGCACCTGTCATCCAGGTCACCTGCCTTCGCGCTGCGCGCCGCGCAAAGCGCGCTTCTCTTCGCGCTCTCCGGCCGCCCCCGCGGAGCAGAGGCGACTCTCCGGCCGAGGCCGCGAAGCGCGCCGCATCCGCGGCGATCTGGCCCACGGCGCGCGAGCCTCTCGCTCGACGCCCATCGCCAACCGAGCTCGGGCTCCCGCCGAGCCGCCGGAGCCTGGCCCGACCCGCGCGGACTGCAGCAGGCTCGTGCAGCAGCGACGGTCGACGTCCGACCCGCGCTCCTGCTGCTGCCCCCCCCCTCCTCTGGGCGCCAGGGGCAGCAGGGCGGGGGGAGAAGACGTGGCCTCGGAGGCCAGGGACTTGCAGTCGGGCCTAGGACAGAAGGACAGCTGTAAAGAACATGAGACCCTCCGCTAGCCAAAATGAAGAGCATTCGAGGGTACCCTCCCCCAGGATGCACAAGAAGGTCCAGCAAACACGAGGAACATCAGGGCAGCCTCCCCGAACCGACCTCGATCTTATACCTCGGTCCGACTGTATCCATATCCCCGCTCTGGCGCCGCGTGGCGCTTGGGTGCGAGACGGAGCTTGGGCAAAAAATCCCGATCGCCTATAATAGAGACCCCTGCGTTGGTTTCTGACACCGCGTGTCGTTCAACCCTGCATGATCGGCGGCTTTTCGGTCGCCAGGTCGTTGCGCATTGGCCCATTCTGGCCCGCACTGGGGTCGCAGCCGCGTCGACACGACACGAGCCCGCCGTACCCTCGCTCCAGGCCAGGCCACACGCGTCGGACTCCCGTAATAACGGGGGCTCTGATCAACCAAGACACGGGCGTGCCTGAGAAAACTAAAGCCATAAGTCGGCTCGTTCTCGTCTCCTCGTTTTCTCCTGCTGGATCTTGCAGAGTCTCGCACTGCAAATGCTCTGGCTTCTCGCGAGGGGCCGTGGCGTCCCTGCCGCACTCGCGAGTCAAGGCGAGCCCGAGGGACTGGCACACCCTCCGACTCCTCGAGGGAAGTACGGTCAGGAGCACCCCCCCACCTCCTCATCTTTCGACCGCTTTCCACCAACGGTCGCCCGTTCGCACTGAAGCCGGGCCCGTCCCCATGCTGGGCAGACTCGGAAAGGCCCTCTTCGAGTTGATATCTGCCACTGTGCCGCAAGAACCGAGTGCAGTGTCCCCAGGTCCTTCCGTGCCTTCTGTATTGAGGATTCGAAATCACCGAACTTCGCGCATCGTGCCACGCGGTGTGCTACGCGCGGGTACCTTCGCACCCTCGAGACAGCTCCCCTGGAGAAGGGCAGCTCTCCTGTCCAGGCCGCGATGCGCGAAGCGCGATTCTCTTCGAGCCTCTGGTGAGACCGTGGTGATTGGAATGCTGTCTGGTGGGCCCAGAGCCCCCATTGCCAGATTTTTCCTGTCGCTGCTCGCATGGCTCATTCAGCAGGTCGCGTGGCCTGCTCAAAAACCGGAGAGCGCCAAGCCCGGCCAGGAGGGTCCCGAGAGGCCCGCGAGCCGGTCGAAGGGGGCCCCGAGTCGGCCCACGAGCGCCCTGAGAGGGCACAAGCTGCCCTTTGGGCGGCCCAAGACGACGCCAAGGCGCTCTGAGAGGGCCCCAGGAGAAGCCCCAATCTGAACAACAAACAGATCTTCCTAAGGCTCTTGGAGAGTTTGGGCGTGCTCGTGCTTTCAAGCTTCGGGGCCCCGGGAACGGCCTAGTAAGCCCCCAAGATCGCCCCAAGACGGCCGAAGAGGGCCCCAAGACGGCCCAATAAGCCACCAAAAGCACCCAAGAGGCCCTAAGAGGCCCCATCAGAAGCCCAAAGGGCCCCTTCAAGAGGCCTCGGGGAGGCCCCCGCGAGGCATCCCAAGAGACCTACTCCTACTCCTACTCCTACTCCTTCTCATCCTCCTGCCCGTCTTCCTCCTCCCTCCTCCTCCTCCTCCTCCTCCTCCTCCTCCGTGCCTCCTCCTTGCCTACTCCTTGCCTCTTCGTTTCCTTCGTATACTCCTCCTCCCTCCTCCGTCCCCCTCACCCTCCGACCCCCCCTTCTCCTTCTCCTCCTCCTCCTGCTCCTCCTCCTCCCCCTCCTCCTCCTGCTCCTCCCTCCCTCCCTCCCTTTCCTCCCTCTTCCCCCCTCCCCTCCCTCGGCTCCCTCCTTTCCCTCCTCCCTTCCTCCTCCCTCCCTGCCTCACAGGTCTGGTCGGCGGCACAAAAGCCGGCGGAGAGCCGGCGACGCCCTCTCTTCGGATAGGGGGTCCTGCTGTTTTCGGGGAGGAGGAGGAGGAGGAGGAGGGAGGAGGGAGGAGGGAGGAGGGAGGAGGAGGGGAGGAGGGAGGAGGGAGGAGGGAGGAGAGGAGGGAGGAGGGAGGAGGGAGGAGGGAGGAGGAGGAGGAGGAGGAGGAGAGAGGAGGAGGAGGAGGAGGAGGAGGAGGAGGAGGAGGAGGAGGAGGAGGAGGAGGAGAAGGAGGAGGAGGAGGAGGAGGAGGAGGGGGGGCGGGGAGCAGCAGCAGCAGCAGCAGGAGGAGCAAGCGGGGCAGGAGGAGGAGCAGCAGCAGCAGGAGGAGCAGGAGGGGGCACGGGCGACGAGAAGCGGGAGCAGGAGGAGGAGACGGGGAGGTTGGTGATGAGGAAGAGGGTGAGGGTGATGGTGATGGTGATGGTGATGGAAGTGATGATGATGATGATGATGATGATGATGATGATGATGATGATGATGATGATGACGATGACGATGCTGATGATGAAGAAGACGACGATGGTAATGATGACGATAAAGATGACGATGACGATGCTGCTGAAGATAACGATGATGGTGAGGACGATGAGGAGGATGATGATGAGGATGTTGATGCTGCTGCTGATGATGATGATGATGATGATGATGACGTTGATGCTGGTGCTGACGCTGCAGCTGTTGATGCTGCTGCTGATGACGATGCGTGTGATGATGCTGATGATGACGCTGATGATGATGCTGCTGATGGTAATGATGATGCTGATGCTGATGCTGATGCTGATGATGCTGATACTGTTGCTGGTGATGATGCGTATGGCGTTGATGATGCTGCTGATACTGTTGATGATGGTGCTAATGATGTTGCTGATCATACTGATGATGCTGGTGATGTTGATAGTGGTCGTGATGATGACGATAAGACTGATGATGGTGATACTGATGCTGGTTCGGATGCTGATGCTGCTGATGGTGATGCTGCTGATGGTTGTGATGATGAGGATGATGATGGTGGTGGTGGTGATGGTGATGATGATGCTAATGCTGATAATGATGATGATGATGATGATGATGATGATGATGATGATGATGATGATGATGATGATGATGATGATGATGATGCTGATGCTGATGATGACGATGATGATGATGATGATGATGATGATGATGATGATGATGATGATGATGATGATGATGATGTTGATGATGCTGATGATGATGATGAGGAGGAGGAGGAGGAAGAGGAGGAGAAGGCGAAAGAGGAGGGGGTAAGGAGAGAAAGGAGGAGATGGATCAGTGAGTGGCATCAAGAGGAGGGGGGTACGATGATGATTAGGAAACTCAAGAAGAAGAGGATGTTCGAATCTGGGCGGACTTACGGGCTCGAAGATCCGAGCCCAGGCCAGGAAGGAGGAGGAGCCCTGCACGTCTACAATCCTGTGAGAAAAGCGAAGCGGAACTGCAGTGGCATCTACTGCAGATCCATGCTCATGCTGCACCTTCGGAGGACCTTGTCTGTCCAATTGCGCTGCTATTCGCGTTGAATCCACGAATGCAGGCCAAATCTGCGTCGAATTCACGTCGACTCCGCATCGGACACAAGAAAACAACGCCATGTAAAGGACAGAATGAGAACAGACATGCTCCCCCGATGTTGCAAAGCAACCATGCCTTCGGACAGCAGCAACTATGTGGAGCGTGCTCGCAACCATCCCTTCAAGATTGCGATGCGAGGGCAAAATCTGGCCACCTACTTGGCAGCTATAGCAGCGATCAGCACCGCCTCCATCAAATGATGGCAGGGTGGTCAGGAAGAGTACTGTCCAGAGCAGCACGCAGGCGCGAGTGCGCAAAGACGCCAGCTGCACCACACGGAGGGAAGCAGACGCCAGATCCTGTCTTCTGCTGAGCGCCCCGCGCGGCCGGCGTCCGACCAAAAGAAACCTACTCCCGACTACACGCCACCAGGGCATGCGCTGGTCCGGGGGGCAAAGAGAGCCCACTGGACGAATGCGCTGACTGAAGCCGAGGAGGGCAGGCCCCTCACCCGAAAAAAAAGGTGTGCTTCACACGCTCGGTCTTCGGGGACGACGATGGGGGCGAATGGCCCAGTGGAGAGCAAGACATGTGTCCAGGGCCGTCGATGGTCCATGCCTTCGGCGAGCCTCCTGGACGAGTGCGTGTCATACCCGCCCCTGGGCTATGCGCCCCTATCGACGCCGCCGAGGTCTACGGCATGCAGCAGCGTGGGGGCAAAAGGGCGCCCCTCGCACCAAATTCCTACCTGGAGGCGCCCGCCCCTGGATCGGTGGCCGATCTCGTGCCGCTCGCCCCGATCTCTGCAGGAGGAGCAGGGGCGGGTGGAGGTGCCGCCGCAGTCACGCGCAGGGGCCAGCGTGCCCAAGTCGCGCCTCGATGCGCGAGAGCGCGACCTGCAAGCCCAGGGTCTCGTCGCGCACGAACTTCCGCAGCTCGAGCACGTCCCTCAAGCCCACTCCGCCGCCGCTGCGCAGCTTCAGCACCGTGCCGATGAAGTCGTCGAAGCCGAGGCTCTTGTCGAAATGGTGGCCCAGGCGGTCGCTCTGGAAGAAGAAGTCCGCAAAGTCCAGCAGCACCAGCATGTCCACGCCAGCCCTCTCCAGCAGCTCCATGGCCTCCTCGTTCTGCAGCAGCTCGAGGAACTCCCCCCTGGAGATCTGCATCTCGCGCTCGTCGGCCGCCTCCCGGCCCGCCGCCTCGAGCACCTGGCGGACCTTCTCCCTCACGAAGGCCCGCTCGGACTTCTCCTTCTCGGCGGACGACACCTCGCTCACCACCTCGCACAGCACACCTATAAGGAGGTTCAGGATCGTCAGGTGCGTGACGAGCACGAACACGACGAACACTGCAAAGCACAGGGCGCTCTCTCGGCGAATAGCGTCCAGCACCTCGCGCCCGCTGCACATGAACGCCCCGTCCAGTAGCAGCGTGTACATGGACTCTGGGATGCTCGCGAAGTACTTCGGACCGAACGCAGTACCGTCGCCCATCTGGGTGAACGCGATGCCGAAGACGTACACAGTTGCGAACAGCATCCCGAACGTGCACCCCACAGAATGGGTGGCGGCCGCGACGCCCCGGACCATGAACAAGACCTCCGGCAGGCTCCGCAGCAGCCGGCAGATCCGGACCAGGCGCGCAAGGCGCAGCCATCGAAGCGCCCCCAGGACACTGGGACCCGGATCGCCCGCTGCCAGGAGCACGGTGGGCAACACCCACGCCTCCAGCACCATGAAGGCCACCAGGACGGTGTCGAACACCATCCAGCTGTCGCGGAGGGCGTGCAGGGCGCTCCTGAACGCGGCGAGCCGGATCAGCCACTCGGCGGCGAAGAAGAGGCAGAACGCGTTCTCCGCCGCCACGAAGGGCCATGCCGAGTCGAGCAGGTGCTGCTGCCCGTTGAGGTCCGTCTCGACCGCGATCCAGGCGGCGTTGAGGGAGACGGCGGCCAGCGACAGGCGCTCGAAGCGGGGGCTCCGCACCAGCTGCGAGGCGAGGCCGCTGTCCCTGTAGGCGCTGTCCCCCGCCGTGCGCAGCTGCGAGAGCCTGTCGGACGACTGCCTCCTCCGGAGGACGAAAAAAACGGCACAGATGCAGTAGGAGCCCGACCACAAGAAGCCTTCCACAAGAAACCCAACCCTGAGTCCCCAGGACGTCCATCGATTTTTGGTGTGGGAGCGTCACGCTCTCCATCGGAAAACCATCGAAGCCCGAGACACCCAGGGCACCCTGGAGGCAAGCAGGGTGTTTCTTGGCATGGGTCTCTACTGTGTAACCTTTGACGGCCCGCGCGTATTACTTGGATCTTCGCTGGCCCCACTCCCTGGCGCGCGGAGCGCGCCACGGGCGGCTTTGGACACGCCGCGGGGGGGAGGGGGGGGGGCCAGCGCAGATCCAAGAGATCCGCGCGGACCGTCCTTGTTGTGCTTATGGGACTTTTCCTCCTGAAGGGGCCCAGGGACACACAAATGAACAGACACACATCCCAGGTGTCCACCGTAATTTCAATATTTTCTGGATTGTCTTCCCCTCCTCTTTCCCAAATCCGCCGACCCTGTCGGCGTGTGTGAGGGGCTTTTCCGTTCGAGCCGTCATCTCCGTTATTCTTTGTACTCGTCGTCTCTGTCCTGCGCCCCAGCCGCCCGAGCCGCGCCCGAGCCGCTCGAGCCAAGCCGACCTTGAGCAACGTCGTAATTCAGTCGAAGGGAAGCCCCTTCCCTTTGATCCCTTCCCCGCCGGGTGGGGGGGGGGGGTATCGACCCCCCCCCCGGGTCAGATACGACGCCCCCCCCCGTACCGACCTTGAGCAACGTCGTAATTCAGTCGAAGGGAAGCCCCTTCCCTTTGATCCCTTCCCCGCCGGGAGGGGGGGGGGGTATCGACCCCCCCCCCCCGGGTCAGATACGACGCCCCCCCCCGTACCGACCTTGAGCAACGTCGTAATTCAGTCGAAGGGAAGCCCCTTCCCTTTGATCCCTTCCCCGCCGGGGGGGGGGGGGGGTATCGACCCCCCCCCCGGGTCAGATACGACGCCCCCCCCCCGTACCGACCTTGAGCAACGTCGTAATTCAGTCGAAGGGAAGCCCCTTCCCTTTCCCTTCCCCGCCGGGAGGGGGGGGGGGTATCGACCCCCCCCCCCGGGTCAGATACGACGCCCCCCCCCGTACGACCTTGAGCAACGTCGTCCGAAGGGAAGCCCCTTCCTTTCCCTTCCCGCCGGGGGGGGGGGGGTATCGACCCCCCCCCCCGGGTCAGATACGACGCCCCCCCCCCGTACCGACCTTGAGCAACGTCGTAATTCAGTCGAAGGGAAGCCCCTTCCCTTTCCCTTCCCCGCCGGGAGGGGGGGGGGGGTAGCGACCCCCCCCCGGGTCAGATACGACGCCCCCCCCCGTACCGACCTTGAGCAACGTCGCAATTCAGTCGAAGGGAAGCCCCTTCCCTTTTCCCTCCCCGCCGGACCCCCCCCCCGGGGATACGGGGAGCAACCTCGGAGTCGAAGGGAAGCCCCTTCCCTTTTCCCTCCCCCGCCGGGAGGGTGGGGGGGGTCGACCCCCCCCCCGAGTCAGATACGACGCCCCCCCCCCGTACCGACCTTGAGCAACGTCGTCATTGAGTCGAAGGGAAGCCCCTTCCCTTTCCCTTCCCCGACGGGGGGGGGAGAGGAGGTCCCGGGGGGGGTCCCGGGGGAGTCCCGGGGAAGTCCCGGGTCAGATTCGACACCTCCCTCCCCCACCTTCTCGTCCTTCTCCCCGTTCCCCCAAACCATCCCACAGCCCGTGCCTCTTGCTGCGCATTGCGAACAGGGTCGGCGGCACCGGCCGTCAGGCCTTCGCAATATTAGTAATCAGATCTTGCCTCTGTAGGGGTCCTAGCGGATTCATATGGTTAGGTGAGGGATGGCGCCGATTTCGGCGGCACGCCCGGATGCCCGGGTGCCCGGGTGCCCGGTAGCCCTATAGCCCTATAGCCCTACAGCCCTACAGCCCTATAGACCGATATCCCTTATAGCCCTTACAACCCTATATCCCTACAACCCCATAGCCTGATAGCCGTATAGGGCCTGTAGTCCTATAGCCACATAGCCCTATAAGCCCTAAAAGACTATGGTTGGGTTTTTCTCGGGTATCATTTTCTGGATTGTCGTCTTCCCTTCCACTTCCCAGACATTCCATATAGATCGACGCTTCTTCGATCCTCATCAGCTTGGACAGGCGGTTGGGCACGGCGTGGGGGGACGACGTGAACCCGCTGCTGCTGGCACAGCTGCCCTGCTGGCTGCGGCTCGACTGGGCCGCCGCCGACGCGCACGGCGACGGCGGCACCAGGCGCAGCTTCGAGCCCGCGGGCGTGGCCGTACCCGCCCCGGAGGCAGGCGAGGGCGGCGCCAGGCGGCGGGCGCTGAGGGCCGCCACGGCTGGGGCCCCGACGCCGAGGTGGCTCGGCATCCGCGCCAGGTCGTCCTGGCGGGACCGAGAGACACTGGCGCCGCCACTCCCCGGCCCTCTCTCCGGGTGCGTTCCGACCTGCCTTCCACGGCGAGTTCAGCCTCGGCGGCGAGGGCCTCCCAGGAGGCCCAGGAAGGCGAAACCGAGCCAGGGGCATCGGCATCGGTACCCTGACATCAGCCGGTCTGATCTTGTCAATCCGCGGCCCCAGAGGCCCCGACCACTTCTCCAGGGGTAGACTTTCGTCCTGGGTGCGCTCTTGCTGGCTTCGGGGCCCGACACCGGCCCCCGGATGCCGAAATGCCGAGAAGACCGCATCGGCGGAGATCTGGCTACACCTTCTCCTCCTCTGACGTCCGGCGACAGCAGCGGAGGCGGAGCTCCCGGACGCTTCGGGGCGTCCGCCGTGCCGTCTGGCGGCGCCAGCGCCGCCGGGGCTCCCGCGCGCGGCGGCGCGCCGGCCTGCCACCGCGGCGCCTGGCTGCCGGCGCTGCCCTTGGAGACGGCGCGGCCCAGCGGGCCGCCGTCCAGTGCGCCGTCGTCCGGCACGTTCGGGGGTCGCTGAAGGTGCCCAGGGCCCACCCAGTTGTTGGCTCCATTGTGGAGCCCCTCGGGCCCCCTGGGCCTCGCAAGGGGTGCTCTGGAGGCCGTGGGGGCCTCCTTGGAAGTCCTGGGGTCACCTTGTTGGACGCCCGAAGTGGGCACGGAAGAAATGGGTACAATGACCAAAAACACATGCTGTCCCAAACCAGCCGCGGCCGCTGTTGGGCAGGCGGCCTTCTGTCTCAAATGGACACAGTCCGTGGCGACGCCGACAGCGAGTCCTATTCAAAATGCAGAGGAACTGCTGTCGGTCTTTCAGACTCCTAGACGAGGTCGGAGTAGATGGGGTTGGAGGGTCGCGCTGCATCGCCGATACATCGGCGATATATCGCCGATGCATCGGCGATATATCGCCGATGCATCGGCGATGTATCGGCGACGTCGGCGATGCATCGGCGACATCGGCATGGAGAAAATCGGGCTCCACATCGAGCTGCGTCGCCGATACATCGTCGATGCGGCGCCATCCTCCGACCCCATCTGCTCGGATCCCATCTGGGAGGCCCAGATCTTCGCACCCACTCTTTCCGTACCCATTTCGATCGTCCTGATCCTTGTTGGCGGCACGCACAACGGCGGTGGATGGAGGGGGGAGGGCTTCTTAGAAGGAGGCTGCTTCTTAGAAGGCGCCAGCCCTACATCTACGGATAAGGCCCGCGCCTTCCAAGAAGCAGGGGTGCTTCTGAGACGCCCTCCCCCCTCCCCCCCCCCCCTCGTGGCTGACCCTGGGCCAGGGGCACTTCTCTAGCGACACCCGGCACGTGCAGCGTCACCACGGGCACGGGGGGGCCCGCCACGGCCACCGGCCGCGGCGCGGGCGCGCCGTGCTCGCCGGCGGGGCCGCGGAGTAGGCACCCGTCGGCGCCGGGCGGCGCGCCGAGTGCCGCGGCCCCGGGCGCGGGCGCCGCCGAGGTGGCGGCCAGGGCGGAGGCAAGATGGAGCCAGGAGGAGGATGACATCGGGTGAGGGTAAATCGAGAATCTCTGAGGTCTCGCGGCTCTGGGGGACGTCTCGGGCGCCGCGGCCTTCTGAGAGTGTTCCAGAGCGGATGCATCCTCGTCCCAGCCCCGTCCGAAGAGGCGTCGTGTCCGAGGGCACGCAGGGCGCCAGCCACGGCCAGCTGGCCGTCCGAGAGGCCAGAGAGCCTCCCAGAGGCTCGAGCTGAGCAGTGCTTTGCGCCTTTGTCTTGTGGTCGCGTTGCACCCTCGATCCTCCTCCTCCTCCTCCTCCTCCTCCTCGACCCTCCTCTTATACTCCTCGACACTCCTCGATCCTGATCCTCCTCCTCTGTCTTCGTTCCGCCTTTGCTGCGAAACTAACTGAAAACAAGCACGGCCCACGAGCACACCGTTCGGCGCGAGCTTTGGCCTGTTCAGGATCAGACCGGCATCAGACCGCAAGCAAAACGAAAACACTGTTCAACTCGAGCCCTGGCCTCTCCAGGATGCTGCGCTGGCCCGCCAGCACCGGAAGCAGCTCCTGTCGGCTATGCGCGAAAGTGACCCTAGTCAAGCATGACTTTTGGTGCGCGGCTTCAAGGGGGGGGGCCAGACCCAAGCGCGCAAACCGCTGCTATCCCACCTTAATTATTCATTTGGAGGTCGGAAAAAGGGGTGTGGCATAAAGAGGTGTGGTGTCAATCGTGGAAGTGTCCGTGTGATCGACGGTAAATTACATCGCCAGCCTCAGCATGCGGCACCACGCCCCTTTAC